GCCTTCCAGTTAGTGGCAATAAATTTTCTCGGAAACAGCAAGGCAGACAACTACAGTTGTTGGTGGAAAACCTCCTCAAGGCATACAAAAGCCTTGGTTGCAACATGTCACTAAAGGTACATTTTTTGCACTCTCATCTAGATTTTTTTCCCACCGAACTGCGGAGCAGTGAGCGACGAGCACGGCGAGCGATTTCACCAGGACATTGCAACAATGGAGAAACGCTATCAGGGCAAATGGAGCCCATCAATGCTTGCAGACTATTGCTGGACAGTGACAAGAGAGAGATGCTCCATTTAATGAATACAAGAGACAAGCCAAGAAGCGCCGAGTAGACACTGAATAGGACTAAACTATGTACATAATAGTTTTTTGCCTTTTGTTTCATAATCAATTTTATTTATGTAACCCTTTTGCTGATTTTTTTAAAGTGTTCCATAAACAGGACAGGTGAAATATTATCATGTAAAGCAACCATAAACACATGAAAAGACCTAGGTTTACAATTTATGATTAAAACTCTACTATCTACACAATATACATAGACATAAAATGTAAAAACTTAAATATCTTAGGAACAGTAGCCAATCAGTTGTTTTAATTGTCATATTTGAATTCAGCACATCAAAATACATACTAAATAGCATATTTTATCTCTGAAGCAGACAACTTCTCAAAAATTGTAGACCAGTGTAATTAAATTGGTCCAACTTCTGGTGTGGATGCATTTCTCTGTGTAAAGGTGCGTTAGAAAACTAATCCTTCCAAGCTTAGATATATCTGTAAATGTCAGTAAGTGTTGATTTTACCATACACACACACACACACACACACACTGGAGAAAAAATATTTCCATTGATAACTGAAATTTATAGATAGCAAAAGCTAGAAAAATGATGATTGAGAACTTATTAATTTGATTTAAGAATATTTATTTTGACGTGTGGTGTTGCTGGTGGCGATTATTTTGTGTTTTAAAGGCTATAAAGCTTTAACTTTTATTACATTGTCTCTTAACCCCCCCTCCATAATTTTGTTTAACTGAAAACTTATTGATAAAATTTAAAAATGCTTAAAAATTAACATGGATATTATCTATTGAAGTATTTTAAAAAGTTGAATTCTGCTCATCCTATTTATAGCATTGTTGCTTTTCTCCTGACCTACAGGATTAGCTATTCCAGTGTAAAGCACTTTTATAACAACAGAACTGCAGCAACATGCGGGGAAGTTGTACCACTTACTGTACTGGTGTATAGGTGAAGTGGTACAATTTGTGTGCATAGACAAGGTCTTGGGT